AAAATTGTTATATGTACAAAAAAGAAAGAAGTCGATTTTCATAATATCAAATAAAATAATAAGAAAATCTATTAAAATATATTCACGTTTTTAATCAGTCTAATAAAGCTACAAAAAAGGCACGCCGAAATTAAAAACTAGCACCTTCAAAGACATTCAATTTAATTGCAAACATTTTTCTCAATTGCACAATTATTTTTTTTAAGGCATAATCAGGAACACCGATTTAAACTCACTAACTCTCACAATGATCGACCACGAATTAATCAAATAAAAAAATTTCACCGAAACTAACTGGGGCCTTCTTTATTGAATTTGATTTTATACCTACACACATTTTCATTCGAGAAAACTGATTTATATTAATTCAATATCATAACTATCAAACAAAAAAAAATAATTTAACTTCATTTTAATGAAAATGCCCAATTCGAAAAGAAAATTAATCATACAGACCATTTAGTGTTAAAGGAAATATTGCACTAAATTTCAATAATAGTAAAAATAAATAATTCGTGGACGGTAATTTTTCTTTATTTTTAATAAATTTAAGTAAGGCACTTACTGTTCTTTACATTAGCACATTTTCTGAGAAAGATGGGGAAGGATGCGTCGTCTTATTCGTTAAGGGTGTCTACAGAAAGAGCGAAGTCACAAAATTTTGCCATTTTCGATGTTGGCAAAAACAATTTTCGATTGATTTCTTCATGCAAATATATTAGAACTTTACGTATGTCAGCGTTATCAGCCGGAGCAAATTTAAGTGACTCCTTGACGTCACTTAAGGCATCTGCGTACAGGCTTAAGTCTAGCTTGGCCTTTGCCCTTGCATAGAATGCTTCATAGGAGTTTGGCTTCACGTTAAGAACTTCGTTTGCTAACTCTATGGATTCTGGGAGTTCCTAATATTAAACAAAATTCATGAGGAACAGGATTGTGAGAAGACTTTTCCAAAAGTATCAAATTGTTTAAAGATGCTTGACAAAATATTTTTCTAATATTTGATTAATTTTTTATTTATATAAAAAAGAGTTTATACGTTACACGAATATTATAAAAATCACTTACGTTCATTTTTCGTTTACATCTTGAGTGGTTAAGTAAGAAGTTGATCTTGAGTTGGTGGAAAGACTTGTTGTGTTCACCTTGATCGTCCAATGGAATCTTTTTGAGAGCATACTGGTAGCGATGGGCTGCTTCCCTTAATCTACTTTTCCGGTATAAAGTGTTACCGTCTTCCAAAAGTTTATTAAGGAGGATAAGCCTAAAAAAGGGGAAACATCACCGTCAATCATAATACTTACGACAAAATTAAAAATTAACTTACATTATATCTGGTTTGCCTGCTGCCATTGCCCACGTGGTAGGTCCCAGTTTAGCTCCTTTCTTCAGGAAACATTGAATTACCTGGACATTCTTACATCCAATGGCCCGATCCAAAGGTCGAATACCGTTGATATCAACATGTTCGATCAGGGCACCTTTATCAAGTAGTAGTTGCACTGTTGTTGGATTTCCTTGGAATGCGGCTAAATCCAGAGGAGTACGACCAGTTTTGTCGGTGTGGTTGATGTTGGCTCCTCGGTCCAGCAAAGTTTGTACAGTTTGCTGTCTGCCTCGTAAACATGCCCAGCTTAGCGCCGTCAGACCTTCTTTATCTTGCTCTTCAATATTTGAGCCTGTGAAGTATTAACAGAGAAATAAAATTTTAAACTGAAAATATGAAGGTTCAAGTGGAAGGTGAAAATTCCAAACATTTAAAAAAATCAGTGAAAAACGCTTCTACTAAATAAACGAATGAAAAAATTCCAAGTGCTAAGAAGAAATTTGTTATTTACCTTTGTCTAGTAGTAGTTCAATGAGGCCCACGTGCCCTTCCGCTGCTGCAATAATGAGAGGGNTCTTTATCTTGCTCTTCAATATTTGAGCCTGTGAAGTATTAACAGAGAAATAAAATTTTAAACTGAAAATATGAAGGTTCAAGTGGAAGGTGAAAATTCCAAACATTTAAAAAAATCAGTACTGAAAAACGCTTCTAAATAAAATGCGAATGAAATTCCAAGTGCTAAGAAGAAATTTGTTATTTACCTTTGTCTAGTAGTAGTTCAATGAGGCCCACGTGCCCTTCCGCTGCTGCAATAATGAGAGGGGTTCTTCCTACAGAATCGCTGTGAGAAAGTACGGCATGATTCTGGATGAGTCTTTCGGTGATTGCCCAGTGGCCTTCCTTTACTGCTAATAATAATGGTGATAAATTTTTCTTGTTCCTAACGGACACGTTTGCTCCGCGATTTATCAATGCTGAACACACTCCATGGTAACCGTTTGTGGCCGAAATAGTTAAGGCAGTTTCGCCAGTTAATGCGTCAATTTTGTCAATTGAAACTTCCGCCATGTCTAGGAGATACTCCACAATTTCTGTATGTCCTTGGCTGGCAGCTGCTATAAGAGCTTGCTGAGCAGCTTCACAAAGAGGAATGTCTTCGGTATTTTTAACTATCCAGTCGCATGCTAGCAGATATCCGACGATGTTCAAGTGTCCATTTCTAGCAGCATGAACCAGAGCACACTGACCAGCAGTATCGGCATGGCCTGGAGCTGATCCTGCTGCAATCAATTGTCTCACCACGTCGCAATGTCCTCTAGCAGAGGCCAATGATAACGCTGTAGACCCTTGACTGTTTGTCAACTCAACATCCGCTCCAAACTCCAGAAAAAGAGAGACCATTGGAACGATACCTTCATAAGCGTACATACAAAGGATGGGAGCGTCACCGAGATAACTTGTAACGAAATTTGGAGTTGCTCCAGCCAAGAGGAACAGTCTCGAAACTTTCACATTTGGATTGTAGATGTTCCTAATGTGGGCAATTGCAGATGACACGTCATCACAACTTTCACCTACCCAAAAGGCTTGTAGCTCACGTGACGAAGTGTTCGGAAAAGTCATGTTACGATAAACGTGAGCTTTTAGAATGTGATGACCTAATTCTAAAGATTTTTCTGGGTCTAGGGGCGCCTGCGCCCTCGACAGTCTAAATGCTATTCCGGAATGACCAGCCCTTAAATCGCAAAGGAACTTGGTGCTCTCGTTATCGTCCCTCCTAATCAGCCATTCCCTGAACGAAGGGTGGAAGAACATGTACGTATTGTCGAGCCGTTTCACCAGAAAGCCGGACAAGAGTTTGAAACGCTGCAAGAACTCTTCCCACGGAAGGAACGTATCAACGAGAAGGGAATTTACCGAATAATATATTTCGATGAGGGTCAAGGGATAGAGAGCTGCCAGACATACGCTTAAGATGTGGGTGACTTTGTCAAAGGAACGTACGGTAGGGAAACGAAGATTGAAGTGGAGGAGATATATCTGGGCGAGAGTTACGGGAAGCACTTTGTAACTGGACGATTTTGCAACCAAGTGACCTCTTTCGAGAAGATCGAGTGTAAGTTTGGCGAATAAAAAGGAACCTCGACTTAGCTGTAATAGATGTTGGGAGAATTTATGTTGACAAATGTTACGACTCTCCTGTTTCTCAGCTGTGGTTGATATTACATTGTTTTGAATGCTGGGACTGTTACATAATCGAAAATTGATGTAGTCCAGAAGATCCTTTTGAAGATGTTCGCTTGATTCTACATTATCGAAGCTTAGTCTGTGCGCCAAAAGAATAAAGACGGTCACTTAAACAAATATTTATAATAATTGATGTAAAACTTACCTTTTATAAGGCAACTGTTTTGTGATATCAAGGAGTTGCGTCCTAACAGTGGCGATCACTTTCAACCAGGAAGGAAATTTTGGCATGTGTTTCGCTAAAAACGACGTGATGGTGTCTCCTTGGTCTGGTCGGTGATATTCTGCTTCGCACAGTGCATCGATTAAGATGATATAGTTTTGGTTCTCTATTTTTCCACACTTTTGTAAAATTGTCAAAGGTTCCAGGATACCTCTTGTAAATGCCACATCAGGATTTACTATACATTCTTTTAGGGATATATTGTTTTGAAGATGAACTTCACTTAATAAATAGTCACGATATGCGATCAAGTGTGGAGCTTGGCATAATTGTGCTGCTAAAGAATGGACGAAATCAGGAACTAGACATGTGTTGTTGTTATCAGCTTGACAAAAATGATACGCTACTACTTTGGACGCGAGATAACGTATCCTTTCAGAGACTAGGTCTATTTGATAATAGAAACTTTGCGGACTAAGAGATCTTTCGGGCGTTTTTGTTCCTTGTATTGTCTGATACGTCGATTCTTTTCGTCGACCGAAGCAGCTGTAATCAACGAACTGCAGGATAAGGGCAGTCTTACCGGTACCTGGATTTCCAGTTATGAGAACACCGGAACTCGAAGATTCTATGTAAAAATTATCAATTTGAACGATTCATCCTTGTTGGTGATGAAACAATCACTTACCGACAATTTCTTCTATTTCCTTAATAATTATATGTCTTCCTACGAAGAGAGGATCGGACTCTTGAAGAGGCACTTCGAAGAACAAGGGTTTCAGGGTTAGCTGAGGGGTTTTGGCATATTGTCCAAACCTATGATTCACGTGATCTGCTGTTATTTTAGGTGAAGTTGTTCGTGCAGATCTTCTAACACACGTTCGCTTCAACTGGAATACATTGAGATCTTCAACTTGACCAGACTGGGTTGCTGTAAATGGAAGAATTTCATGCATACGCACCAAACGGAAAACCATGATAATGTTTAATTTATTAATTCACTTTCATTTAACATTTAACTCTCTAATTACATGATTTGGACAATGACCAAACCAAAACTAATATTTGTTTTTATCTTTTAATGAAAGAAGAACTGACGGCTTTTCTTACTTGTGACGCTGTGTCTTCGGCTGACGGGACTAGAACTGTAGTTGCTCTGTCCCGACATTGACATGGACATGAGAGATCCGACACTCTCCGAACTGGGATTGATTATCCTGTGCTGGTCCTCGGAGCTTCCGGTGAGAGTGGACACAGGACTAGTATTGGACGACAGTGTTGTCGCATTTTCGTAACTCGCTGAAGAGTAGTAGGACTCTTGAGAGCTTCTGGTGGCAGTCTTTTTTGGTTTGTTGGCGTTGTCTCCGAGGAGAAGGCCGAGGCGCATGTACAGATCGTTCTCGGAGGTACGTTTCGCAGGAATCTGCGGCTTCACCACACTTTCGTCGTCATCTATTTTGACGGAGAGAAAATTCGTTTTGAAATTTAAAAATTCGGCAAATGGATTACATATTATTGACGACAGAAAAATAGCTTCTTAAATTGCAACTTCTGAATAATGTGCTTCAATAAGCGAAAAACTTCAAACTAGAAAAGGCCATACTTATCAAAAATAAATAAAGAAAACAAATAGTCTGCCTGAACAGCAATCGTGCAAAAGTATATGTCTAGCTAAAACGAACAAAGAAAAATATACATGTATGTAAAACAGAAAGAGAAATTGGCAAAAACAAAACCATGCAGTTTCAAAATTGAACAAACTGTTCGTGCCTGAAACAAGTTGATTCAGTCCAGCACTAGCACTGGAACTCCCTGCTGTCCATAAGCAACGAATTTTTCCTAAAACTATACTAGGCCAATGACGACTTTCGCTAGTTGTAGAAGCCGTCATAGAAGCTGGAAGAGAACCCCAAAAATGAAGACAACATATACACATTATAACAAATTTTTATTTAACTTTAAAGAGAAGAGAATTTTAAAAAGAGTAATAGATAAAGGTATTAAATAAACTAAAAGAGAATTACTTAGATTACATTAAAAACATTTTTGAAGAACGAGCACGTTTTTTACTTACCTTGAATGTGGAATTATCAATGCAAGACAGAGAATTAGACAAAAACACGTGTCCGTTTTTCAAGAACATTTTTATGGTAATTAGGGGTAAGTATTCTTTTTAGTTTAAGGGAATTTTGTGTAAAAATTTTAATTTAAATTTCAGTAGTATAAATTGACTGTGATAAATTTATTTATTGTTACTATTTATTAAATATGACAAAGTCTGATAATATGAAAACCCTTGTTAAGACCATTTGTATTACTAGTCGACCTTAGATGTACGCAATGATAGAAATTCGAGCTTGAAAATGACTGAAATAGACTGTCGAAACGTCGCTTTTACAATAAAGAAAGTTTAAATATAGAACACATCGTTGGTTAATTGGCGAGATTAGAGTCATTTTTCACAAACCTAGATTAGATTATTGTTCGCAAATCGTGAAGGATGTGGGATGTTCTAGTTTTGGGGAAATGCGAAAAACATTAGCTCAGGATAGGAAAGAGTAGAGGTGTGTGTCCAACCAGTCTTAGGACGACTTTATGATAATGACGATTTTTAATGACACAATCTCACACATACTTGTCTTTTTAATTGCCGAAATACCCGTGAAGACCCCACAAAAAGTCAGTGATACTGTGCGGTATGCATTATGAGTTTCTTGTAAAGGTCTTATGAGGCAAACCAACATAACCTTACAGAGAAGTGACCAATCCACCCAACTGCCATGTTGGGGTTTGATCACGTAAACTTTAAGTATGTTCTTCTTACGCAAATTAAATGGTTATTTACTATTGGGCTGTATTTGAAAATTATAAGCTGTTTGAGAAAAATATGTTGAATTTTATTTAAAATACTTTTCCAAACGTATTTTCTATTTGTAAAATGCAAAACATATTTTTGCCGTTAAAAGTTTTGCTAGTATCACCGATCTAACATTATATTAAATGATGAACAAAAGTTGCTCGCGTTGGCTATTGAAGGTATTAGAAATTTAAAGAGGAGACAAAGAGACATTCCATGAATTTTAACTGAAGAGAGCTAAACTCCTTGGAAACGGATAATCTAAAATATTGGATCGATATTGTTTTCCGGGTTCAATGTCATGGTTCATGGAATTTTGAAGTTCCAAATTGATATCAGCACCTATCAAACCACCACTTATTGTACCTTTAGCAAGGAACTACGAAATTCTATGAATTACGACAAAACAGTCCGCAAAACAATATGGAATTGATTTACGCCAGCTGTGTAAAACTGAAAACTACAAGATATTGTGGTGTGTTAATAAATGCGTATAATCTAAAATTCTTAGAAAACGATTCGAAAAACTTCACTTGTTAGATGAACCCAAAGCTAAA